AAAGATGGGAATCTTCTGGATGTGGAGGAGCCCCCACCAACAGCCACTCCATCTTACCAGGGTTCAGCTGAAGCCTGTTGTTCCCCATCCAGACCCCCACAGCCTCCAGGCACCACAAAAGTGTAGTCACAGCATCACTCAGATCACCTGGGATGGAGATGTATAACTGGGTATCATCTGCGTATTGATGATACCTCATTCCATGGTGGCGGATGATCTCACCCAGTGGTTTCATGTAGATGTTAAAAAGGAGTGAGGAAAGTACCGAACCCTGCAGCACCCCACAAAGGAGGGGCCATGGGCTGGACCTGTCGCTCCCTATCAACACTGATTGGAACCAGCCTTGGAGGAAGGAGGTAAACCAGCACAAAACTGTGCCACCCACCCCCCACTCCACAAACCGACCCAAAAGGATAGCATGTTCGATGGTATCAAAAGCCGCTGACAGGTCAGGAAGAGCAAGGATGGTTGCACTATCCCCATCCCACTCCCTCCAGAGATCATCCAAAAGTGCAACTAATGCTGTTTCAGTCCCAAATCCAGGCCTGAAACCTGACTGAAAAGGGTCCAGATAATCTGTTTCATCCAGGATCCTCTGGAGCTGCAACGCCACCACCTTCTCAACCACCTTCCCTAGAAAGGGATGATGGAAGACCGGACATAAATTGTCCAGTACAATGGGATCCAGTGATGGTTTCTTGAGGAGGGGGTGCACTATTTTACTTTATTATTTACTTAAACTGTAGGTAGAATTACAGTAAAATTCCTGTTACATATAAATCTGTATAACTATAATTTCTGTTGAAATTAGAAATGATTTTTCCCCAGGGAATCCAACAAGGTGTAATAGAAGGAGATTTTGCTCTTTGTATTAGTTTGTATCATGGTTACGAACTATTACTACAAATGGGAATGAGATCATTGCATATCTTCTTACGTGGAATTATGGATGGATCAAAAGGTAAGGAATGCCTCCTTAAAAACTGGTTTTCCTCCATTCCAACTCTACCATGGGCATTTAGATGTATTGGGGAGACCTTGGTGCTCTCTGAGGTGCTCAATTGTTTGTTTATTGCAGACATTTCATTACCCAACTAGGTAACGTCATCAGTGCTTGTGAGTGTGGGGTTTGCTCCCTGTTTATATACAGTAGCTTGCCTGTCAATGTTGGTGGGGGTGTGGTTTTCTCCTTGGTGGTTCCTTGATTAGAATATTGTTTTCTTGCTTGATTGTTTGTCTGGTATTAATCCCTGCTTATCTGGGTGTTATTGCTGGAGAGGATGTGTTTTGGTCTTTTGTTTCCTTAGCTTTCTTATTGTCTCTCTTGAACAGTGTGTAAATGTGGTTTATCTCTATGTCTCTGTTGATGGCTGATGTATCTGAGTGCCAAGCTTCCATGAACTCCCTAGTGTTTTTGATAATGAAACATCTGCAATCCAGCAACCAAACTCAGAGGGGACTCCACCAAGGACTCCATAGTTCAACTCTGAGCTACAGAGACTCTCTTCTATTTAGATGTATTTTATATATCAATTAAAATATTTGTAAAGGAATATTAGAAATTTAGCAGTATTTAGAAGTTTGGTAGATATGGGAATAGAACATGTTTTTCACATTTGCTAATTCATAAATTAACTTGAAATCTATTTATATATTGAAATGCTTTTAAAGTTGTCAAAAAGGTTTTCCCATTTATACGTGTATCTTTTTAAAGTTGACTGAATTAAGGCCGTTTAGTTTGGGAAATAGTGTAAGCACCACAAAAACCAATTTTTTAAGAAAAAAATTGGCATGTAGTAATGTAGAAAATCCAGATACTGACAGTGATTTCAACATAACCAATCAGTTCTTACCAGAGGAAAAAAACATAATTCATCCATTCTGGTAGAGGCATCATTGACTATCTTTGGGTATAAAGAGCTGAGACAAAAGAGAAAATACTGCTTTAGTTGGGAGGAATAACTGACTTGTACATACCCACAAATTAATATAAGACTGATGTTCTTGAGGAAATTGGAATTCAGTAAATAAAATTAATATTATTTGGTCTTTCCAACGTACAATTTAATGTAAGGCTGAATAAGATAGAACTAGTGTATTTTTGTCTATGTCTTACGCTTGCTTTTCCTATATTGGTCCATTTCAGAGATTTTATTTCTGACATCAGAGCAGTAGATAAAATTGCCACCTAGGTCTGATGAAAATGAGACTGTATTGTCTTCAGTAATGATAGCAGAAGAGTCAAGGATGGGGGCACATTATGAATATGAGAAATGTGTCTAGCCAAAGCAAAGCCACTATTCTGTTTAATTTGGTTCTCTCAGTTCACCCAAGATTGATTTTCACATATATGTATATGTATATATATTATATACAGTATATGTATATATATGTTTATATGTGTGTATATATATATATATGTATATACATATATGTGTGTGTGTATACACATATTCCTGATCTTTAATACCTCATAAGCTCAAAGCTATCTTGTATGTATTTGAAGTACATTTTTAAGTAGCGTTAGTCATGATAGCCTTGAAAAGAGACAGAGAGAGCCATTTTCAAATATTTGATTAGTTGTTGCAAAACTAATAAAGCAATTCTTCAAAAAAAGAGACTCTGACAATATTAGAAAGAACTTCATAATGATGCCAGCTATTTCATAGGAGAATAACTACTGGTAGTGGGTTGGGATGAGCTGTCCTTCATTACAGAATTTCAGGCAGAAATAGGATGGAAACCTGCCAGAGAAACTGTAGTAATAGAATTGCTGTATCATTGGCAGTTTGACTTAAAAGATCTGTAATGTCCCTTCCAAGTGTATGTATTAAGTTGGAATAATACATTATTCCCTATCTGTGTCTAAGAGACACTATTGTGGTCATTAACCAGCGTACTTATCTGTGATTTTTTTATTAATTTTCACTGCAGACTGCAAAACAAATTCTAATGTCTAGCTTGATGTGCAGTTTATGTAAGCCAGAGATCTAAGTTTAACATTTTTAAATTCACTTACCTTTCCTTCTAAGGTATGACTCGAGCCAAAAATGAACTTGGGCGTACTGAGGAATTCATGGTACTGTACAACCAGCTTGAAAACATGTTTTCTGACCCAACTGTGACTTCATCAAATGGCAACATCTCTGAACTAGGTTGGCAATTTATCTACTCAAAATACAGCAGTGCTGTCTGTTCAGTATGGCAAGTGACTCTACTAAGGAATGAAGGATATCTTTAAATACCCATGAATATTCCAGGTGAAGGCTGTCTTTATATAGCATGAATATTGTTGCTTAATGGCATAGTTAATTGTTTTCAGATATTAAGAGGTATCCCTATTTTGGTTTAAATTTGAAATCTTATTTATTTTGACAAATGTGTCCTCCCATGTGTGTGTCTGTGTGTTCATTCAGACCTTTTTGAAGTGCCTTCAGGTCAGTATTGACTTCTGGCAACTGCCTCAACAAGTCTACACAGTCTTTTTGGCACCATTTTTGGAAGTGGTTTGCTACTGTGTTCTTCCTAGGGCAGAGAGAGTGTGACTGGCCCAAAGTTATCTAGCTGGCTTCATGCCTAAAGCAGGGTTAGAACTCATGGCCTTCCAGTTTTTAGCCTGATGCCTAAACCACTATACCAAACTGGGTCTTTTTCTGAAGTTTATGTTTGAACAAATGTATAAAGTTGTACTATATATCTTATGGGTTTTTCCCTTAATGATATGATTAAGAAGACAATTAATTTTATTATAATATGAATGGTAACATTTCACAGAGAATGTTTTTAAAAAGTTAAGGCTGTCTACAGATTTTTATGTCTAAAATTAAAAATTTTGGGCTTACAGGAGCTGAAAACATAAAGACTTTCATTTATAGCCATCCAAAGTTAAAGAAGTTAGAAGATGTTGTTGTAGAACATTTCAGATCCTGGAGAGAACATGAAGGTAGATATACAATGTAATTCAACTGCTAAGAAAAAAATTGCAATAATCAAATAGTATTGTTGAACACTCTGATTGAATTTAACAAGGGCAATCTCCTGTTGGATTTATATTCTATACCCTAATGTTTTCTGCTTTGAATCTTATGAAGTATGAATTACTTGCTGTTTAATATTTTGCCGTTCATTTTATACTGTCCTTATCTAAAAGACTCTGGCTAAATATTTGGCTTACCAGAATATGCAACTTTCAGTTTGGCACAATTTATCCTTTAAAAATCAATGTTCTTTGTTTGTATACTTATTTAACTAGTTCCATTTTATCAGCATGACGCTTAGTCTTGATTAGGCATGCTATCCAGTTAAATTGATTAACTGGAGATCATGCACGTGGCAAATGGTACCAAATTTCTCCATCTGTGTTCACTGAGTTGTAGTTTATTGGTTTGCTTTCTATATTAAATAGATCAGACTACATCTGAAGTCAAACCAGCAGATACCAGAGTGATGATCTTCTCCTCCTTCCGTGACAGTGTTCAGGAAATTGCAGAGATGCTTAGCTATCACTACCCAGTTGTGAGAGTCATGACTTTTGTAGGCCATTCTACAGGCAAAAGCACAAAGGGTTTTACACAGAAGGAACAGCTTGAGGTAATGAAGTGATGAGGGGCGGGGATATAAATTGTCCTGCATAGTATAACAAATGTCATCCTTAATGTATTTGTAAATTAACATCCCAAACAGATTTCTGGTGCCAAGAAAATGGTTTTGTAATGCAGCAATACCCATAGAAAGATTCTTAAAATATGCTGCACAGTGTAAAATCTAATTTCACCAGGGTTCCAGTGCTGTGGTCACGTGATATAAGTTAAATTCACTTCAAATGAATAAAACTAACAAACACGTAACTGTCCTGCTCACAGTTATAAGCACGTGATTACTATTTGGCTGCAGATCTGTCAGTGTTTTTCAGATGTGTGATATTGTTGTATTTTTCAAATAATAAAATGTTCTCCCTATTAGTTATTTTTAGTACAAAAAGTAGTTATTCTTCCTATAGAAATAAAATTGTAATGAGAAGCAGAATTTCATAGCTTTGTTTGCACAAATCAGCTGCTCCCTTGAGAAATTGGCTTGCTCCCAAGTGCCAGAGATGCAGAAACCAGGGAGTGGTTTTCAAAGTTCTTCCATCACCACATGACAGGTCCAGCCAACCCCCTTCCCTCCCTCTGAACGGAACACAGGTTTAAAAATACATAGTGCCCCAATCATGTTTGACCCCCTAGAGAATCAGGACAGCCTTATCCACTCTCACCATTTTCTGCCTATTTTCTATCCCTCTTCTCAAGATGGCTACAGAGAGGAAGTAAAAAGAAGACAATGCGTAGTGAAGGTCATTTTATGGGGCTCTTCTATGAGTTTGTCCTTGATTAAGCAGCAGGGAAAGTGCTTATTGCTTTATGAAGCTTCTCAACTGTGTAGATATGGTTCACCAAGTTACTTAGTTAAGGTTATTTTGGGACTGCTTGGGATGAAATTAGTCCCATCTATCCCTCTCTCCAACTGGGTTAGAGTGTTCGCATGACATGCTACCACTATAACTACTTTGGCCTGGATGGAGTTGCATGGATAGGGTTAGAGAAGTAAATGTGTACATTATTTCTGTTCTTCCTTCCTTTGGATCTTTGTGATTGTGCTTACTATCAATTACTTACTAAAAGCCACTTTCGTCTAGTGGTTAAGGCACCAGGCTGGAATCCAGGAGACTGTGAGTTCTAGTCCTGCCTTAGCCACGAAAGCTGGCTGGGTGACTCTGGGCCAGTCACTCTCTCTCAGCCCAACTCAACTCACAGGGTTGTTATGGGAAAAATAGAAGGAGGAAGGGTATTAGGTATGTTTGCTGCCTTGAGTTATTTATAAAAATGAGAAAGGCGGAATAAAAAAAATCTAAAAAAAATGTGTAAAAAACAAAATGTTTTGTAATAGAGCAGTATAGTAATTGATAAAGGTCCTAAAATTTACTGAACAGTTGAACAATTTAAACTGACCCTATCTGTTTAAATAGGGTTATTATCTAAAAAACTCAATTGTTCCATGGTAACTACAGCACCTGTTTCAGTACCCCCCCCAAGTATTCTTGAGAAGTGCACCAGTCCTCATTTCCCTTCATCTCATGCATATTCCCAGTTCTGTGACGCCTGCTGCTCTCACAATATTTCCTTACAACATGGATTTGTTTTCTTAAGAACTGCAAGAATCAAGCTAAAACTTGAATTGTTAATGTTTTAATTTTCCTTTAGGTAGTGAAGCGTTTCCGGGAGGGCGGCTACAACACCTTGGTCTCCACGTGCGTAGGAGAAGAAGGCTTGGATATTGGAGAAGTGGACCTCATCATTTGCTTTGATGCTCAAAAAAGTCCGATTCGTCTCGTGCAACGAATGGGCCGAACTGGACGCAAACGGCAAGGGCGCATTGTTGTCATCCTTTCTGAAGGAAGGGAAGAGCGAGTAAGATGAGACCACAAACCAAAGTTTGTCTTGCTCATTGCCTAACAAATTCTACACGCAGTGATTTTTGTGTTCTAATTTTTTCCACAAAAATCCATTCCAGTCCTAGGTCTTGCCACCAAATAAGGCTGGAAGAAAGTAATAACTGAACTGGCAGAACTTGGCACTGCAGTGGTGGTGGTTCTGATGGTGGCAGTAGTATGTTCTGTAGGACTTGGGAGAGGGATTGCTGCTAGAGGCATTTAGGATTATGTCCAGAAAACCTATTTCCATAAAATTAACAAAATGAATGTTATTTATTATTAGTTCAGTAAACGTGGGGAGAAGAGATTTGACTGTTTCTTTTCTTTAGGCAAGAATAAAGAGAAGTACCTAAAACAAGACTGTGGCTATCAGATTTCTCAAACTAAGAATTGAAGTTAGAGTAGTTGTGGCGAGCATCATCTGTAACAGCATGTTGGTGGAGTCACAGTTATGATGCAGCTGTTTTGTTCTGCTCTGGCTACCTTACATTAATGATACTTTCTTTCTGCATTATTATGTCCCTTCAGTCAATAAGAGTTATGAAGTCCTTGATCATGGTTTAATCCTTTATAATTGCATACATCATGGGACATTTTAAGGGCTAATGTATTAGATGGGCTTCGAGTAAAAATGTTAACATAGATTTAATTAAGTTTAGTGACTATGCAAATACTTTGCTTTCCTTTGCCTATCTATATAAATTCAATAAGTAAATAAAAATTAAGCATTTCCACCTGATACATTATCAAAGGTTGGTGTAATACTGGGAGGACATAATGTGAGTTCTGCAAAACAACTTCTGACGTAAGTTCCAGAAATGTTATCAAATCACTTTATGGGTTGAAAAATAGGATATTGGTATTTATTTGCATGTGAAAAACAGAGTGAGCTGGTATGCAGAAGGATTGTACTAAAGGAAGGAAACTAGGCCTACAAGCCTGTTTTAGTGTAAAGCATACTTGCAAATAAGTAAACTAGGAAAAGATTAGGAGTTTTACCACAAAAAAGTACCAAATTCTTCTCTCTTTTATAGACTTACAATCAAAGCCAATCCAACAGAAAAAATATTCTGAAAACTCTTTCTAAAAATAAAGGCCTCCATTTGTACCAGCACAGCCCACGTATGATTCCAGAAGGCCTAAACCCCAAAATGCACCGGATGTTGATTACACCTGCAGAGAGGGAGCCAGACATCTCCACATCCAGCTCAAAAGAGAAGAGAGGCCTTGCTTTGGGGCAGAAATGTTTTCTTACTTCTGCCAGTGCAGGTAAGAAGAGAGGATATCCAGTGAGTTTGAGTTCACACACACACACATACACACACACACACAAACTCTCTCACACACAAGGTACGGGAAGGTTGCCCAGTGTAACTGACTGGCAGATTTATGATCCACAAGACCTAGAATTCTTTCATATTTGGCATAATTAACAAGATTCATTGCCAAAAATGCTTTGATGGCTATTTGTTTAGATAATTTTGCAAGGGTTTTGGCAAATTCCTGGAGAATGACAGGTCATAAATATTAGCCATAGATATTAAATAAAATAGTATACCTCTTTAAGCTAGACAAGAGTGGTATGATGCTGTTGAACTAGAAGGGTGGTTGAGATGAATACCTTGGAGTGTTAAGTTTTACTTATTTCTTATGACAGTTACTTAAAACATAAGTCCCATTTTTGTGAAATGTCTCTTTAACATTTTTGCATGCCACATCTCACCTACTGAAAAATTTCAACCTTGGTCTTTTTTTACTTAAATCAATTCTTATAATTCCTTGACTTATTTAAACTGAATAAAGAAGATGATTACCATAGAGCCTTTTCTGATTTCAACCAGGGGCTCTTTCCTTATAGAGAACGTATGTGATCATAGCTGAATTACAGTATATTTTTAGCAGCATTCTAGATCTTTTTAGGCATTAAGAAGCAATTTTAGGCATTAAGAAGCATTGCTCCCTGTTTAGCTCTGTGCCAAAATTGCTTGGCATTAATATTTGTATGATGAAGAAAACATGGTGTTTGTATGTAGTTACCAGAAGTTGAGCTCAGCTTGACTGAGTCTTACTTTATCCATCTACAGGTTACGACCATTCATTCAGCAACCGTTCAAAGTTATGATGGTGCTGAATGAAGGGACTTACGACCAATCCTCCAAGTTCCAGCCATTGCAGTGCCCCCACAGTCACGTGAACAAACTTCGGCTGCCTGGCAACCAGTTGCAGCATCCCACAGCACGTAATCACCATTTGCGCCCTTCCCTGCTGGCTTCCCCCAAGCAAAGTCAATGGGACGCCAGCAAGTAAGGTCACAAATCACTGGGGTAAGTCCCCCTCCCAGCCTTTCTTTACTCGCTCGCAAGCACTGCACCCTCCTTACCCTCTGTGCTTACACATACCCCACACCCTCTTTCCATGGCCTCCCTGTGATTACACACACGCACACACATACCCCATTCCCTCTTTCCCAGGCCTTTCTGAGCTCGCATTGCACCAAGTACCTCCTCTCCTGACTCACACGCAGCCTGCACCAGGCCTCCCAAGTCGTCCTCCACCCCCCTGCAGCACCTCCACACTCCTTACCTGTGACTCCCTCCGCTTCCTGCTTAACGACCAACGTGTCTAGGGTTATAACCAGGACTGCCTGGATTGCCGTTGTGAAGCGATGTGGTCACGTGACATCACACTTTACAACCACTTGGCTTAATGAGGGCAATCCTGGTCCCAATTGCAGTCGTAACTCGAGGACTACCTGTAGCCCATTTAAGAAGGCATCCAGATATCCCAGAAATGTTTCTGAGCAAGGCAAGGTAGTAATGGTAATCCTACTGTTTATGTCAATCAAAAATTTATTGCACTTGATACTGGAGACATACAAGTGGGAAAAAAATGCTTACTACGTAAATGTTTATTTTAATGCCTTTGCATATAGCAGAGGGGCTTTGTTGCCTTCCATGTATTGCTGAACTACAGCTCCCAGCAGCATCAGCCTGCATGGCCAATGAAGAGAAATCTGGGGAGTTATAACAAGTATTGATTCTGCATATGTGACATTTAGTATCTCAGTGACTCTTAAACAGATCCTGTAAAGTAGGCCAGAGCTATAAATATTTTCAAACATCATCTATGTTGTTTTCTGATCAGAAATTGTGACTGGGAGTGTCTTTGTATCTGTCCAGTGAAGAAAATAAAATGTTAGAACAACAGGAAATCAATTTTGGTTTATGTATAAATAATAGCTTATGTTTTATGCAAAAATGGAATAAAGGGATCTACGAAACAAGTAAAGAAGGCATTTAAGAGATCTCTAAGCTTTTTTGGGGGGAAAAAGC